GCAAGCGTCCCCTTGCCCCCCCCCCCCCCCCCCCCCCTTTCGGTTGGTACACCCATGCACGCGAAGCTCATATGGCATTTGAAGAGACCTTATTCATAAGTAACGCTATCTCTCGGTGGTCATGGGTACTATCAGAGGCTTGGCGCCATCTTTGAGGCTTGTCCACCGTCCCCGTCGCCCGCTGCAGCAGGAGCCCCTCTCCCCGCGTAGCGTTCGTACATGTTCTTGATGTTTTTTCTTCCTTTTTTTAAGTATATTGATGGTGTCAGCCGCTCGAGAAAAAAGTTACGAATATTAGGCGCAAGTCTGTTTTCAGTGGTTTCACTAAGAATCTATTTTGATAAAAATTAGCTTCATTCCAGCACCAGAGCAGGCCGACTCACGCACTGTTTTAGAATCGTGCATTAACTTGCCCGACGAGTTGATTATGCCTGCTTGAAAAAGGAACATTTGTGTGATATTTTTAGCAGGGCCGTCAACCCCTGTGTGGCAGTTTGTTTTTATTTGGCATTCGCGGCTGCGGGTCTACAGAATGAGCAGTTCTTCACCCAGTGCGCCGTGACTTAGCGTTTGCAGACCCGAATTGCAGAGTTCTACGATGGGGCTGTTGAACGTTTAATCTTGGTTCCCCGTTGTCTTAGCCTTAGGAACATTGCAGATATGGTTCCACACACAAAATACAAACAAAAACATGAAATTAATTTTTAAAAACATTTTTATTCTTGGGGAGATTACCAAATGGTAGCTCAAAACATCATTATAAGAAGTGCGTACGATACAGTACGAATTTACGATGATAAGTGGTAATTTTTATTGCAGGTAAAAAATAAAAAATTAAGATCTACACTAGCATACTCCCACAAGCGTATGCGAGGCACGCGAGTGTAAAAGGAAATGACCGGCGTGTCGCCGCGGTGCAAGTCGCGGAATATACACCAACTCATGTTTACAAACAAACCGGAGCGCCCCTAGCGGACGCCACCGGCGCCGCGCATGAGCGATGGGGGTGTGGGCAGGAAGCTCGCCGTCGCCCATAAACAAACCATTGAAATGCGATGTTGTCGGCGTCGGTGTGAGTTCCCGCGCTCTTTTTCGAGCTGGAATTGTTGATTCTACGTCCTCCTAACGATGTCTGACTACTTGAGCGGCGTCAGCGAAATTAACGAGGCTCGTTACACCGCAAAACTTCGCGTGAATAATCTGACATGCGGCAATTCATTCCGCGTGGACGCCGCAAAATGTACGCTAAAGCCTGATTCACATGATGAGATTTCGCTCGCAATTTTCAGTAGCGACGTCGCTCGGACCGCAAAAGCGTGAACCGCAGCTGAGATGGTCGACGTCGATACTGAAAATCTAAAGCAGAATCGGATCGTGCGAATCAGGCCTAGCAAGTCGGTGATCGTCACTGTTAACAATGATCAACATCTCCTTGTATCTACTGTTTACATCGAGCCTGCTCACCAACCTTCAAATTTAGGTCTTTTGAGGCGTGCACTTACTTCTTATCGTAAGTACCGGGCCAAGATTCTGTCTACGGGCCGGCGTCGTCTGAGAGAGCAGACGACAAGCAGACACGTCTGAAAGAGCAGACGACAGTTCGAACGATCAGGTGGCCGTTTGAACTTGAAGACGCACTGAACGTAGTCCGCAGGTGGTCCGCACAACTTGACGGTTTTTTTGGCGTTCATGTTGGAACAAAACAAATAGATCTGATGATCACAGCTATACGTGAATTCAACCCAAAGTGTTTCCCATCCAAGCAATCGTTGTCCGACGGCGTCTGCTTTTCCCTTTTCACGGCACATATCCATATTCTCGGACGAACCGAGCACTTGAAAACTGACCTTCAAACCTTTCTCGACACTTCTGGTACGGCCCCAGTCGCGGCGTTTTGACGAGAAGGCAGGTTTTTGTCTGGTCCCTTTCAAAACAACGCAGGAATACACGTCTGGCACGGGGACTTCTGCCCACAGCCCCAGACCGGAAATGCGATCGACGCGCCACCACCGCGCCGTGACGTAACAGAGATGATTTCTTGTATAACGTAAAAATATATATATATATTCTACGTAAAGCCGATACATATTCCTTTTATAATCATAATGATAATGCTAACAAATAAATTGAGTACTGGCGCATATATACACTTCGGCCCCTTTAAAGAAAATGCATGAATAAATGTCAGCGACATTTTAATGTGCTCCTCCTGGTAGAACGGTCACATAACTCAGCGCGCTTTTAAATTTCATGCTTACTCGCAATAGAATATGACCAGTGCTTATAAAACTGGTTGCTTGCAGTATCGGCTACAAATAAAAAAAAAGCTTCTCCCGCAGCGCGTACCCGATCTGTTGGGAAGCGAGCAAGCGCGACTGATAAACTCGCCAACAGGTCCAGATTAGCAGCCGAGAGCCCGCGTATATTCTTCCGTCTACATCTCGAAAATGTTTCTAGAAATGTGAGAGTCGCGTGATAATAATGATACAGCGTACACCCGCCGGCAATATGAAGGTGAACCCCAGACCGTCGACCGCTCCGTGCTATCAGCGCCACGACGCGGCAGCTGTGGCGACTATATATCTTTCTTATCGCTTGCTTCGCCGAGATTAAGCGCTTGGATCGAGCGCTGTTCTCAGCTATGCTGCTACTCCCCGCAGAAAGCGCGAAGATTGGGAAAGGAGCCTTTTAGACGCCATCGGTAGACAATCTGAGTTAGTAGTTTTTTGTTGTGATATGATCCTAAACCGGAAAATTGCGGAACAAAAAAAAAAAAAAAATTGACTTTTACTTTCGGCTTTTTCAAAAGAAAAACACGATATTGTTTCATTTGTGTGATGTGTCCGCAACCGCGTCGCATTTGCGTCGATGTTATATTAGCCACATTACAAAGAGGGCATCATTATTAATCTATTGTGCGATGCTTAAAGGCCGGTTCAGACACTTGCGTTTGAGTGCGTTTGACTGCGTTGCGTCGAGAACCGAAAGCGAGCCATCGGCACATCTGAGCTTCGTAGGAAGCGTGGAATCCAATTCAAGGAATCCTCTCTGCACGCGATATAAGCAGCGGGGATGTCCTGGTTTCTCGCAGCCGCAACGCAGTCAAACGCAACTGTCTGAACCAGGCTTAACACTTTGCTGCGCACGCCAAAATACTTTATAAGAAATTAGGGCTCTGCAGAAACGTGCATGTAAGCCTCCCCTGAATTAAATATATATGATTTGTGATACATGATTCACGTTACTGCATACTGAAGGCTACCATGGCGTGATGATTGTTCTATTCATTTTGAAACACGTGTGCTTGTGTCACACGAACACGCGTGCATTGCGAACGCTATTAAACGTAAGGCAGCTCGCAATTTCAACCATTCCCCTTTAATGAGATTCGTGCTTCTGGTGGAGCAGAACATGAGGCAAGAACCACTTCCCCTTTTTCTTTATTCGTCGTTGTTGCGCAGGTTGTTCCACTCTCGTTTAATGGCTTCCCAGAGTTCGTTTGGAGATGCGCTGTGAAGCTCTTAAGTGGCCTGTTTCGACTTCGTGATGCCTTATACGTTTTCGATGATATTGACGTCAGCGCCTTTGGGGGTCCATGGCAGCTCCCGTATGCCACGCTCAGCAAGAAGCATCTTGGTGGAACGGGAGGTGTGGATGGGACTTAGGTCGTGTTGAAAGCAAAGGTAACCATCCCGAAAGGGCCCATCTAGAACGTAGGGCATCAAGACGTGGCCATTTATGTCCGAGTAAACTTCCGACGTCAGGCGTCCGCGTTGATCCTGAAGATGGGGCCAAGTCCTTGGCGGGATATCGCACCCCAGACATTCACGCACCTACGACCACTGGTGGCCACTTCCTGGGTAAATTGAGGTTTGTATTTGCAAGGAAATCGAAGCAGTTTTGCCTCTTTTAGCCACCGCTGAACTTGGTTTTCATTACTTCAGGTAAAGCTAGAATTTTTTGTAGTTTTCAGGCTTTAGCGGCGGACGGGAAGCTTATAGATGACCACTGATGATTTCTTATAAAGTCTTGGTCACTAATGGTCTTGGACATTCCAGAGGGGAAGGATACATTTATGCAGTCTATTATCTTAAAGGGCTGATAAAGCTTACCGGAAGTTGCCAGGCCTACAGACTCGCCTCTGCTGTTTTAACCGGGTGCAGAACGTAGACTCGTCGCTGAAAATGACGTGGGTCCAGTCCTCCACAGTACATCTCCTGAAGATGGGCGATGTCAAACCGCAGCTGCTTGTGCCTTTCCGTCATCAATGACTGGCAAGCTGCACTGCTGTGTAGACCTGCATCGTAGAGGCGTCTTCGAACAGTGGTGTCGCTGATCTCGAGTTCCAGTGCGTCCCTGATGTCCCTGGCGGCGCAAAAAGGGTCGCCCAAGGCTGCCTCAGGGATGCAACGGTCCTCTGTTGCTCTAGTTGCGCGGGGACGGCGACAAGGGGGGAAGGAGGGGGGGGCATAAAAAAGCGTCCATCGTGGTCCCGAAATGCTGCGATAATCTTTCGAACGGTTTTGACGGGCCTTCCAACCCTGCGCGATATTTCCCGCCGTGAAAGTCCTTCCTGAGCAAGGACAACAATCTGGAAGTGAGCTCATCCCTTGGAACTCGAGGCGGCATTTTTTCTGAAACGCTTGAAATTATCTCGCTTTTGCAGATATATCTATTGCTGAATCACAGCCCATTTTACATTTGTTGCAGTTATTAGCGTTCGCTCATGAATGAAGAAAGCGATTGAGTCACTAATAAACCATGCCGAACAACCTCCGCTCTAGTTCACGGGCAATGTGAATCATTGGCCGGCAATGACATGGACACGGCACCCACAAAAAGCGGTGCCGAAATCGAAACCCACTTCCACGCTTTCTGCAGGGGGTAGCAGCAGATCTGAGGACAACGCGAGCCAAGCGCTTAATCTCGGCGGAGCGCGCGATAAGAAAGCGAGCCGCCACTGCAGCCGCGTCATGGCGCTGATAGCACGGACCGGTCGACGGTCCGGCGTTCACCTTCATGTCGCCGCCGGGTGTACAGTAAGTGAGCGTTCACCTTTTTTTAGTACCCTTGTCTTTATAATTCATGCGCGAAACGAATTCGTTGTTACGTTGCCTAGCTCTTCGGCACTTTGCATCAGCCTTCAATTCGGTGTAAACAACCTACAGTGTATTTGAGTGTATTTTACCGGGCCTCGCCGTTTCTCTGCGCGAGCAAAACTACGATGCTAGCCAGCATCAAGCTCCTCAAAAAAACACATAAAATAATAAATGCTCGCTGATGTTACATACAAATATCATGAGACCTTCATGTCATTGTTGAAAGTGTCATATATTTAAAAAAAAAAGTTTAGGAGCCCTGTAAACGCACACGACACTAACGCGCGGGTGCTTTTTTTTTAGGAGCATGAATAGTAGAGGAAAGCCTTACAGCTATTCAAGCGTTGGCAATAATACCTTTAACTTGAAAAGAAAAAAACAATACGATCCGAATCTTTACATGGGTTGTTTTTAATTTTATTTGCTCGTTGAATGCGTAGCGGAACAGAGCGGTCGTGCGGTCGCTGCCCGCCGCTTTGGCACGCCGCAAACGGACAGCGCTTTGCCAGTCGCCTCAAAGACGGCGTCGGAAGGAAGGTTGGCGCCACGTCCGACAGATGGCGGGCGAATCTCAATGGGATGGCTAGGTGGCGTAAGCTACCGCCCGATCCAAAGGGCTCAGCCGATGACTCCTACCGTCCTCCGCAGCCTACCGTAAGATGAAACGGAATATAGCCATGCATGATGCCGAAACATACCGCAAAATGGTCAACGGATCGCAGGCTTCTACGCACAACTACATACAACGTTTTTCTTTTGCGCAGGAATGATTCTTATAGAGCAAATTCACAATCGCGGAAAGTGGTTTGATATTGGCACGAGAAGAAAGAGTGCTAATGTAGTTGAAACGTGTTTTCTGCTACTTACCCCCAACTTACAACGTCAGTGGTTTGCGAGCACCAGTCGGGAGGATTTTGTGCCAAACGCGTCGTCTATAGACTGTGCTGAGGTCAGTTCGATGATCGATGAAGGCAAGGAGACCTAATTCAGGGCCCAGTGCCGATTCTCCGGTTGAGTTATCACTAGAGCTACGTGTTTACAAGGTTTGATTTTTTTTTTCAAACTTATTTTTGTTTACGTTTTAAACAATTTTTGAATTTTGTGTGTGTGTTACAGAAATTTGTTTTTAATATTTATTTATTTATTTACTAATACTGCTCGCCTCGTCGAGGTTATAGCTTATAACAGGGTGGTACAAACAAAATTACGGGAATGAGAAAGTGCTATTACAAAAATCTTGGCAGTGCTTTGCTGCACTGCAATGCACACACTATTTTAAGTAAAGACAAGGTTCTGTGTTATCAGCACCGGCGGAAAAACAAAAGCCCAGCAACAAACCCTGACGAGAGAAGGAATAGATAACAAGAACAAAATTAATTATACTCATAAAATAAAATAAAAATAAACGAGTCGACAACATAACATATACGTGTTTTTTACCCGATATAAGATACATTTTCTGTTTAATCTAAGATAAGAACAAAGTGAGCCACGCTGGTGACAACGTTAGGCCGGTAAGAAAGTTCCGTCTCGTATAGTTCGCAAAAAAAAAAAAAAAAAAGAAGACTGGTGAAATGCATTATTTGCAGCAGCAAAGTCTTTAATTGAAAAAAATGACGTGATCTTCTTGTTACCCGCGGTTGGAAAAAATAAATGTTTTTGTTCTTGTTAATTTTTATGTTGTCATTGACAATTGGGCATACGAATTTTAGCCGATCCTTCTGACATCTGGTGTCGAGGCACTCAAGGTTGGCATTCTGCAAGTGCTGGCTAGAAAAGACAGACCAACTGTAAAGCCGGGTTCACACTGCTTATACATCAAACAAAAGGCACTCTGCAGACACGAGGCACTGAAATATGTGCGGTTACATGCCCCGTGCCAAGTTTCTTCTTGAACTCATTGCCATGCGGCATTCAAAGCACGGACCTCGCGGTGCCTCGCGTTCGAATTTGTATGCAGACTGTTTTTTTTGTATTATGTATAAGCAGCGGCACCTCGGCTTAAAGGAATACATCGGCGATTTTTTTAAAGGTACCCAACTAACTATATTTTCTGAATCCCCGGCGGTACCCTCTACGGTATGTGACTTAGTTTCGAGAAATTCGTAATAGTTATTATGAAATCGGCAAATGAAAGTGTGCAAAAGCCAACATATAAAGATACCCGCACGTCTTAGTGCCGTGACGTGTTTGGAAGACAGGCTTTCCAGTCGAACAAGCAGTCTAAATAATAGACTATGCCAAACATTTGTTCCGTGCTGGTGCACGGGTACTGGAGCGAGTTCTCAAAGCATTCAATAGACACCATGAAACTGATTGTTATCAGTTCGGAACCAAATCTACAGTCAGACAGTGAACCCATGCCTTCCACAGGGGTCACTTTTCCGTTGCTGCCCATAAAAACTTTCTGCATTAAAAAAAAAAAAAAATCCGGTGAGGACCAAAATTGTAAATTCAATAACTGCGAAGAAAACAACAACAAAAAACCTGCTATTTGGGGTACCATTTCAGCGACATTAGTTGGTGGGTTTAACAAGTTTTCAGGCGAATTGTGGAACTTTAGAAAATAAAAAAACTCCCCTTTAAGAGTTATACAGAAAACGAACCGGCTTTTGTTTTATATTTTTTCAAAACTTTTTTATTATTTTTTTGTTTAGTGTGAGGATTTTAAACTACTGCTGCATGTTCAAGAATGGGTCTTACGTAGGACATGCAAGCGAGAAACTTTGTTGATGAACTGGAACGCAACAACGACTGTTTTATGGCTAATTCAGGTGGTCATTTTCTGGCATTATACCATATTTACTCGTGTAATAGCGGCACTATTTATGAACAAGGCCCATGCATCTACTTTCCCACAGAAAACATATACAGGCAATCATTGCGTTGCGCACAAATAACATAGCGAATAACCGAATCGAGCACACGATTCTCCATACAAATGCAATCTTTACTGATGGTATCTTCGCACAAAAACGTTATTTCTGTCCTGTAAACAGCTGAAATCATGATGCCCATCGCGGTGCTTGTCAACCTGCGTGCTCCGCTGTAGAGCGAACACTCCGGTTTTCTTCATAAACAGTGCGGCTATTACTCGAGTAAATACAATATTTTGCCATTTCTTCGGAAAGGGCGTTCGCGTGGTCAAAGGCCGGCCAGTGCACGCTGTTCGGGTGGCGCTTTTCAGGCGCGAGCCAGCAGTCTGTCGGCACATTTTTTGCCCGAGCTCCGAGGTGTCGGGCAGCTTGTCTGCCAGACTGTATTTGGTGTTGTCACATCCAAATCGGGAAAGGGAACCAAACGAAACAATGCACACACACAGCGGCATGACGGGCTCGAGTCGCAAACGAAGTCATCAAGGCTGCCACCCTTTTGTGCTCCGAGGAAAGATAGCAAAAGAACGAAGATAGAGATAAATTATGTCTTAAAAGAGGTCACACTTTTTTGGAAAATTTGTCCAGCTTGCTCAAGGCCAATTTCTTCTCGGACACGCTATGTTATTACATCGCTGTAAAAAAAATCGTGTATGGATAGTGATGCAGTTCGACAGTTGAGCACACGTTACAATTTCAAGGTAGGTGGGTGCAATAAGAAGACTAAGGATTCCAAAAATATGTAACAACAATATAATAGGACAGGGAAAGTGACGCTGGGAAGCCTTCTTGGGATGCGTGTGAAATAGCACCAGTTCTTTTGGAAATCTAAGCATATTAAAATTTAACGCATGTCCGGGCAGCGCCATGCCGATTTAATAATCTGCCCTCCCATTAATTTGATAAATATAGACCCTGTAAGCTGTGCGGACTGTCGTAATGTTAATATTTCGAAAGCTACCATGAAGCCGCGTGTGTTTACAGACATCTCAGAGAGTCAGCGCTTATGTTGTTGACGCATACAGCGTGCTCAATGTACCATAGATTAATCGAGAAAGAAATTAACAAAGCTCACGCGTGACCCAGGCAATGGCTAATTCATGTGGTCATTTCCCGGCAAAATATTTTGCCATATCTCCGGCAAGGGTGTTTGTCCTAGAGGTTGTTTTTGATGTCGTCCTTGAGGTTGTCCTAGACGAATGCTATCGCAATTCATGGACAACCAACAATAGTGGCTCTTGCAGCAATTTATTAAGGCGAAAACCTTATATGTCTCATTGTTCAGTCTTTTTTCTCTTATTCAGATGAAACAAGACTACTGGGTGCAAGGAAGCCTAGGGCAATGAAGAGCATCCGACTGGCTCTTTTCTGGGGAACTCTTGCGTGGGTGAAGGCGAGAGAGGTGGATACGTCGTCGTGTAATATATCCCTGCCATGGACAGTCTTGAAGACAGACTACAACGACGTCTCGGACACTGTGTTTCAGTCTCTGTTTCTATGCCCCACCAACTTGAATGGATGCGGGGACAGGACGCTGCTTACGTGCCAGAATGACAGCTACGTGAGGACTTGCTCCTGCGCGTCCAACTGCAGAGTTTACCGCGACTGCTGCTGGGAGTCAGGCCTCGAGAATCGGGTGACTGCTCTTCCCAAATCTGCCTGCGTTGCCATTAACTTTTCTTGGTCAGCCCGGAAGTATTTCTACATGGTCACGGGATGTTTGCCGGATTGGCCCATTGATGACGTGAGAAAAGCCTGTGAGGAGTCAGGGAACTTCAAGGAGACCTTCTACAAGATTCCAGTTACAAGTTCCACTGACATTACTTACAAGTAAGTTTTAAGGTCTTGAAATCCGATGGATAAGCGAAAGCAAATTAGTTGTGAAGATATATGACACAAAGCGCTGAGACCAGGGAATTCTGTAGAATATTTTTACGCCTTTCCCTAGTCTCAGGTATTTACAGTGGTGCTGATATTTGTCCGGTTTTGACGTCGGTCAGAATATTGAATGCGTAGTTTTCAGCACCTGGCCAAAAGGCTGAATAAATTAAAGTAATGTAGGGTAGTAAGACTTGAAGACTTGATGCTTCATGGAAAGTTAAGCACTAATAAAGCTCTGAGAGCGCTTTTGAGCGAGGCGGCATAGTGGCCTTTGGGAGCCAACAGCGGAGTTTTGCCCTCTCTTTGAAGAAAACATTTCTTATACTTTCTTTTTCAATATTAATTTACAGTGCTCATGAGTATTTCAGTTGCACATGAGGACATGTTGACACTGTTTTCTTGTGTATTTTTCGCGTTTGGTTTCGTATCAATCTCACCAGTCAGTTCGACTACGCCACAGCTGCCGCAATGCATCGAAGGAACTTTAGTCTTTGGGCACGTGCGACAACCTCGCTGGAGCTCTGCGCGTGTACAGCATGGGACGGCACGAGCCCTCTCGTGCACTGCCGTCTGCCTTCTGTGAACTAAAACAAATGGCGGCGTCACGCATGCGCCAAACGATTAGTGAGATCGGTCTATTTATTACGCGTTTTATTATTTCCAATGTAACTGGGTATTTTTTAATTTTTAACAATGTGCGATTAAAGTTTATTATCTGTTTGGTTACTGGCTGTGCAAACTCTTTTACTAAATAAAAAAAATAAAGAAATTCCTTTTCTCTGCTTAAAATGCGATTAATACGTACCTTTTTTATTTCAGAAATGGCTACTGTGCTCTTTGCAACTACGACCTAGCGAACACAACCTTCTGGATTGCCATTGAAACACCTTCCTTTCCAATCACTTATTTTAAACTTCCTGACATAATCGCCACTCAGCCTTACCTTCATCTGAGACCATGCAGCCGCCGCCCTCAAGAAGACACTTGTCCCGAGGGCACTTCCGAAAACATCGTTCAAAAATGCAAGACTTTTTATGCTCCCATCACCACCTTAGAAGACGAAGAGAGTCCAGAGTATCGAAATGTGTATTGTGCTATGTGCAATGGCGCCAACCTTTCCGCTTTATCGTGTAAACCAGCTGAAGAGTTAAGCAGATTTCCTGTTCCTTATCGGCAAATTGCGATTCTACCTGATCCAAACTTGGTTACCATCTTTCACCCCGTGTTGAGAACTGAAGACTGTTACGTTAAACATAGAAACCGTTGCTTTATCAAGTCTCCTCCAGAGCTGCTCAGACGGCAGCATGATGAAAACAGCACGAACCAAATGGAGCGGAGACAGCATGAAATGCGCTTCTACACCGTCCAAAATTATCTCACAATCGTTTGTGTCAGCTTGTCCATCTGCTGTCTCTTCTTGAAAGTCGTTGTGTTCAGCATCTACAAAGAAGCCAGGAGCTTTTCGTCCAAGTGTACTTTGTGTCTTTCCATTACCTTGCTCATGACCCAGCTGCTCTTCCTACTCGTGAACAGCTTTAAGGTCTCAGGGCCCGTGTGCACTGCGTCCGCCATGTTGGTACACTACGGCTTCTTGTCAACGTTCTTCTGGACCAGTGTGATCTCGTTCGACATCTGGAGGAGCATCACAGCCGCCAAGCTATCTTCTAGACGGAACAGTACCTTGGCGTTCTACTCTGTGACCGCGTGGGGTGCCCCGATGATCATCGTTGTCATTGCAGCCACGGTAAACTGGTTGGCTCCAACATCGTTGATGTCCCCACTGTACGGTTATTCGAGCTGCTGGATGGGACGTATTTGGGCCCAGATAGCCTACTTTTTAGCGCCTATGGCTATACTGCTGGCTATAGGTATAGTCCTCTACCTGAACACCGTGTTCTACATCCGCAAGACTACCGACCGTGCTCGTGATTTTGAGTCTAAAGACGGAATTCAGCGGAGCCAACATTCCCACATGACATTGTTTGTACGATTGGCTCTCATTATGGGAGCAACGTGGGGAGTGGGATTCTTAGGTGTGTTCGTAGATTCTACCGTGACAGATATTCTGGTCATTGTGCTTGTTGGGCTTCAGGGTGTGTACCTTTTCTTTGCATTTAAGGATCACAAACACTTCTGCTCCTCAATTCGAAAACGAAAGATCAGTTCTCGCACAGGGGGACCGTCTAATACTACATTCACTACAGAGGACCCGCAAAGCCAAAGACTTTCCTCGTAGAGTTGTGACTATTATTGACCACGGAGTCTCCTTTGTTGCGAAGTTGCGTCCAGAGAACGTTTCGGGCTTTGCTGATATGAGATCAGCGAACGCTGTCACTTTCCCTACAGGGAAAGGTCTGAAAGTTTCAGATATCACGATTACCGCCCAATCTCGTACTTCTATGGATTAACAGTAAAGTAGACCGTACTTGTACAACATTGTCTCCTGCTCAATAGCAATTCCCAGCATAAAACAAATGTTGCTGCCATTCTTAGTATGCTGGCACCAACTTTCGCCACTCTTTTTCTTTTTTGCATACATTGTGTGGTATTAATATCACTGCACCAGGGCATTACACCCATCATAAGCTCTTACTGCAAGAGGCTTGAGGCAGCCAGTCAGTGAACGCTTCACTTGTAGGAAAACCCATGGCTGCTCAATATATAGGGTGTTAGAAGTCACCAGGCTCGATCTAAAATGGACCGTAAAAATCGGCGGCTGCGCGAAGCAATCTCAACTTTTCGTCAAAGGTGTAATTCACAGGTCCGTTTTTTCTTGTAAAATAAAAAAAACGCAGCTCCCTTTCTTAAAAAAAAGCAAAAGGCTAAGAACTTGCCAGGGTCAGCGGCGGTCGGCGATGCAGACGACAGAGTCGAGTGACGGGGTGCGTTTGGCGCACCCATTGAGAGATGGCGTTACCTCTTTATCGGGAGTAGGGAGCCTTCATACACTTTCGCCACGTCTGTCTTAGGGTGGCGGCATCTCGGCCATTTCTGTGCCCAGAATGCACGCGCTTCGATCTCGTTCGGAGCGAGCGCTTAGCTCCGCCCGGGGGTTTGGCGCCATTTTAAGGACCATTTGGCACGCGCAGGCAGTTTTCAATACAACAATGGGTGTTTTCACCCTATGACAGACGCACATCGAGGCACCCTAATCGGGAGTGCTTGGGACTCCATGCACAGGGCTACACACCTCAACCTAATCCCGGCGAGCTCTCGCCCCACAAGTTACGTGGAATGGACATGCCCACACTCCACAAAGCCTTCCGACCACCGGAAACACATTCTTGACTTGCTGCTTGCCTTTGTGCGCAGATGCGGTTGCATGTGCACACAAAGGCATAAGAAAAATGCGGTTGCATAAAGACGGCATTCTCGCTGCCAACAGATTTCGTGTGCGTGTCGTCTGCTTTCTTTTGCTGGTCGACGCCATCTTCCGACGCCATCTATCAATTAATACGTGCGCCAAACGCGCCCCGCCGCTCTACTCAGTCGTCTGCGTCGCCGCTCGTCGTTGACCATGACAAGTTTCTTGGCCCCATTTTGTACAAAAAGGGAGCTACGCTCTCTAATATTACAAGGGAAAAACTAATTAAAGACGTCTACAATTTTCTGTGATGCCGAATTAGAGCGCAGCTCTTGAGGATGAGGAGGGGAGAATACGCAGGGGAGGGTATGCCTCTGCTCCCCGTCCGTATCCTTCCCTCCCCCTTGTCTAGTGTCCTCCCATTTAGCGGGATATTTTCATTACATTTCCCGCTAAATTTAGCGAACATGTCCCCGCTAAATTTAGCGTTAAATTTAGCGAAACTCTGCCCGCTAAATTTAGCGGTGAAATTCAGCAAACGTTTTTCTATTAAAGTTAGTGGGGAAACTGAATTGTTGTTGATGTCACGTGACGTCAATTTAGTGGGTTAAGTTTTCCTGCTAAATTTAGAAGGTAAATGTTCTGTAATGCAATGCGCGCGGTTATGCCAACGCCACTCAACCCGGAAACGGGCGCCTAAGAGCTGCGCTCTAAAATGGACTTGTGAAATACACTTTTTATGAAAAGTTTCGATTGCTTCGTGCAGGCGTCTATTTTCACGGTCTGTTTGAGATCGAGCCTGGTGACTTAAGACACCTTATACATATACTATCAAGTCTCAATGTCTATAATCTAGGCAGCCACATCTTTCGTTGCATGCATGCTAGCGCCATAACTTGACATATTTTCGAATACTTTCGTTTGCTATTTGTAGCAACGTAATTCCCATATCACGGATTGCATCAAGTCATCATACACGCGGCCTGAATTTTCATACACTGACCTTGGCATTAAAGCTATTTTTTTCTGAATCGAACACGTGCTGCGTTATTGAACGTCGGGGAAAATACAAAACTCCCAATACAATTAAACGTCCGGACGCGTGAAGGATGTCAATGCCGCCGTGGTGCGCCTACATTGTTTTCGTAGAAACAAATATACAACCTGGGCATGTAATGCTGCTATTACAAATGCCAAGTCATGCGGCTTCCATAAACCGTCGCTTGACACTCGATCCAGACATATGTATCTTCTAGCACGAGCGGCGTCATTACTCTCAGATCGACGGCCAGTATGGTTGTATAAATAACATTTCAATCAAATCACCAAGGACATCTGGTGTAGTACATCGCCTCCTCTTCCAACTGTCAAGAAGACGATCAAAACTGGTGTCTGAACTGCGCAGATACAACCTATAAATCAAGTTCTGCGCATTACGTCCTACACGCCCCAAAATAACAAGCATTCTAAAGCTTGCACCCGGTGAAGCGACAGATGAGTGTATCTTTGCATCACAGCACGCCAGCATATCTTTCCAGTCCTTCGTGAGAGAGTAGCCGACGGCATATGGAGCCATTCAAGCAAAGCTACAAGTGCAAGGTCACGGCGTTCGCCGTTTCTCCCCCTGTGTGCTATCAGCGGCTGAAGCAATTAAGCCATGTCCCGACGTCACTGTGTAGAATGTATCACACCTCTGCAAAGTTCCTTACTCTATACAAATACTCCCAATAAACGCCCTGGGGGGCTATGTTGCGCTTTTTGCACTCCCAGGAGACTAGGGAGAGGGAAGTGACGTCAACAACGCAGCAAATGCAGATTCGATGTTGATTTTCTTTTCTTCTGTCAACATCCAATCTGCATTTGCTCTAGTCGTTGACGTCACTTCCCTCTTCCAAGTCTCCTGGGAGTGCAAAAAGCGCAACATAGCACCCCTGGGCACACCAAGGCCTCACTGTTTTTCAATGAAGATATTCTCTTTCCCTCCTTTTGTCAACATGTTCCCGGTATTGCGCTGAATGGAGGCTATATGTACCTTAACAATCTTCCCGAATAGCTTAGACATCTATTTGCCTCACAGAGGTTATCCGGAAGATTGAAAACTTAGCTTTTAGGAATCCCATTTGAAAGCAAATCTATTATCAAAATTATAATGATTTGTTTATACTAATGTAAACATAAGTTTTCTTTTTGTAAATCTCCTTAGCTTGGTTTCTCGATCAGGATATACATATTACGAGATATATTTATGTTGCGCATAGAGGTGATATACGCGAAACCTCTACAGAAAGGCGTTAATGTAAAATTGCAAATACTACGAAGGTAAGTATTGCACACGGTGACTCATTTGGGAAACAAGACGCGATATGGACCCTAGACACAATAATTGACTGAAAGGAGTAGATTTAATCTAATAGACTCTTAAAAATGCTTGGAAACGTTGCAGTCACCTCTGCTATAATGTAGTTACAGATCAGTTTGAACTAGTCATATTTTAAATAATCCTTATATAATGGTAAATTATTTTTGAAGTGCACAGCGCTTTCTTTGCAGAACACAATGTGCGCTGACCGGTAACGTTTGGTTTGTGTGACATGAGCCAGAAAATCAGCATAAAACTATTAAACTAAATAAAGCAAACCATTTACGCTTATCAGCCGCCTAGATGAGAGAGGTAAGGGCCCATCTCAAGTAACACCGGGTCACTCATTTGTTTTCTGCCATGCATCGGTACTATATTTTTTTTTACCATTATAAAACTCCTTCGCCATTCACGTTCCCCTCTTACACCTACATCACCTCATTACTTATCAGCGTCGGAATCCACAGTAACGTCAGTTATGCCTTCTGTCCCACGACGCGCATGTCCCCCGGTGGCTGTTGTCTCAAGACTTTCCTTGTCAAGATTTCCCTTGTTGTCTCTGGAAGTGGTCGCCGCGGTCTCGTTTGGCACTGCATACGCGACCGCCGAAGGTCGACTTCCTGTTGAGGTAGCGTCTTGGGCCAATGGTGTCTCCTTGCCGCTGCCTACTTTCGTCATGAGTATGCCCACAAGGATGGTGGCGAAGATGAGCACGACCGCACAGATGGTAAAAGCGAACACGCTGCTGGGAATGTAGCCGTAAGTGCTGTCGCCTCCTTCCTGGGCCGGGACCAAGCCAACCCCGAGGAAGGACGACTCGTCCGGGGTCGCAGCAGGTTTGCCGTCTGGTAGGGACTCCTGTCGCTTTCGAAGATCACGGAGCTCGTCCGCGGTCTGTTCATCGATGGGTTCGTGGAAGGACACTCGGCGACCGGCGGCCATCTGAATTCCTTATAGTTCTTGTTCTTCGTCTTCTTCTTTGCACACAGTGATGGCGGTAAAATTCCCGTTGCGTTAGCTAAAAGAAACAATAACAATTTAGTCGTTACTTTACATTATACATCAGGAGTTTAGTCTTCCAAAAACATGGTGACATTGTTACCTACTGTAGATGATCAATTTAGCCAGTGCAGTGCGACTGCTAGACTGGGCTTTTGAGCGAGCATCATGCAGTAGAGATACATGGCCCAAAGCGTGGCCTAAAGTCCCTGAATGTTCCCAGCCCCAACGTTACTGGAGCAAGCTCAGTTTCACTGCTCCGCCTGCGACCTCGGCTCAGTGGCGGTCACGAGAACTAGCAGCGCTGCAATCGAATATTGTTTCCGGATTGTCTAGTCCGCCAAATTTGAATAGCAATACTTGAGCTTGGGAGAGTTGGCGATTCGTACTATTGAATGGAAAGCGCCGAATAAACAAGGACCAAGAAGGGGACAGAGACGAAGCGCACTCACAACTGAAGGTTTATTGAAAACAACATTGACTATTAATACCGTCTATCAGGGTGTTGGCTCAAAAAGAAAAACTCTTTATCAGTTAAGTGCAGTGACGGCGCACTAATACACAGACTCACCCCTTGCTCTCTTATGCGGAATGCCTCGTGTATTTCTCGCGCTGTTTTGTTTTCGTATCTGCCCAGAACTGTTGTTTTTTCGAATTCCGGGCTACATGGGCACCTATCACAATGCACCGCAAGATTGCCCGACGGGGACTGTTTGACTGACCAGGCATGTTCTCTGGCCCTTTCATTTATGCAACGCCCCGTTTGGCCGACATACGATTTCCCGCAACTCAATGGTATGTTATACACCACTGACGTTGCACACTCCACATATTGATTAGCGTGTTTCTTTTGACACACCTTACCCTCTCCCTTTTTGTTGTTTATTTTTGAACACAAGTGAGACAGCTTATGCGGCGCTGAAAACACCACTGGCACTTCAAAATGAGCCGCCACTTTTTTAGATTATGCGAAAGGTTATGAATATAACCTTTCGCATAATCTACTAACACTTCACAGCACAAGAAAACAGACGCACACAAAAATAAATTTCAAACACTCAAAGAAAGAACACTGAAAATGCGCTGACTCTGATCTCTGTGGTGTATTACACTTCATCGTCATCACCTTTTTTTTTTTTGCTATTATACACATGAAAGTAAAAAAAAAAAAAAAAGAAGAAAAGAAAAAGAAAAGAAAGCTCTCAACGCAGTGATATACTTTGTTTCAGCTTCGGTCCAGACGCAGCCAAAGCTACAAGCGCGAGCTCCGGGCTTTCAGCATCCCTGTCAAGCACGCGCGCTCGTGCAGTGCAAGCACCGTTCTTGGCCACATGCTCGCGCTTGTAGCATCGGCTGCGTCTGGACCGAAGCTGAAACGAAGTAAAGCAGTCAACGCGCGAGACAGGGAAGCAAGATCCGACTGCAGCGCCGCTAGTTCTCGTGTCCACCACATGAGCCACTCGCCTCTGCAGGCGAGCATAGGGAGCTGCGAAACTGAGCTTGAAAGTAAACATCTTCGACAGAAATCTGTCTGGTTTGGGGAACAATTCGAAAAAAAGAAAACTCAAACCAAAAGTTTAGAAACAACAGTTCCCAACGTTTCGGGGTCGACTTGACTTCTTCTTCAGGGGCAACGTTACTGAGCAGGGGCAACGTTACTGCTGGGCAACGTTACTGAGCGTGCTCCAGTAACGTTGCCCAGCAACCATTGAGTTCGCTTACCGGAAGTCAATCCCGCAGAATTCAGTTCTGATTGGCGGTGCTCTAGCCGGTGGCGGAAGTTATAAGTCGGCCATTTTAGGTATGGGCCCAAAATATATAAAAAAAACGAATATAAAAAAAAAGTGAAATCCGTTTACAACTCCCTGTAACACCGAATTAGAGCGCAGCTCTTCAGGAGGAGGAGGGAAGGGTACTGGGGGGGGGGGGGTGAAGTGACCTGGGGGGGGTCATGTGACGATGCCGATGATGTCATCAGTGACGTCACTGATGACCTCATCAGTGACGATGACGATGCGGACTCCTATGACGTCATCAGCGATGATGACGATGACGATGCGGATGTCAGTGACGTCACTGATGACGTCATCCGTGATGATGACGATGACGATGTGGATGCCGGTTACGTCATCAGTGACATCACTGATGACGTCATCAGTGATGATGACGATGACGATGCGGATGCCGGTGAGGTCATCAGTGACGTCACTGATGACGTCATCAGTGATGATGACGATGACGATGCGGATGCCGGTAACGTCATCAGTGACGATGACGTCATCGGGGAGGTCACGTGACCTCGGCGGGGGTCACGTGACCCTGGGGGGTGGTCACGTGACCTCGGGGGGGGGGGGGGGTCGCGTGACTTTGGGTGTCACAGGACCTTGGGGGTCACGTGACTTTGGGTGTCACGTGACCTTTGGGTGACCTTGGGGGTCACGTGACCTTGGGATGACCTTGGGGGTCGCGTGACCTTGGGGTGAACTTGGTTACGCCGACGGCGGCGTCGACACCGACGCCGACGCCGCTCAAGCCGGGAACGGGCCCCTAAGAGCTGCGCTCTAAAAGTTTTCGCGTTGTTACGAGTACGACGGGTGCGCACAGGGGGGAGGGGGGAGTAGCTCAGGGGTATTGATGAGCAAGAACCACGGTGGAAAAAAAAACATGTGCTTCTTCCACTGTGGCAAGGACCGAATGGAAGATACGTTGATATTTCCTAGTGTTTTATATCACGTAACCGCTAATCTGGTTCGCCACAGAAGACTGCCGGCTAGTTTGCTCATTCCGGTTGCACTGGTGCTGCGTTTCAAACTCTATCATGAGACGCTAAGCCTAACAATCGACTTCGAAGTTTTTCTAGTCGAGAGAGAGAGAGACGGAGACAGCAGGGAGCAAGTCACGCACTTCTCGGAACGAAGGAAGCAACTTTAATGAAAACAAACCAGAGTCGCCAAATACCAGGAAAGTAAATTCAAAAGTTCGCACAATAACGAACGTTTGACAGTACGCGCTCTTCGACCACACAGCGCAACGCCATATTGGAGATGGGTTGGAGCGCTACTGCTGCGCCTCGACTTGGTTCTTAAACGAAGTTTGGGAGTTTTGGTACTAACTTTCTTAATGACTCTAACATAACCGTGGCACACCGGTACGATGCTCATCCAGATCAAAACGGACAGGGGATTAGCAGGGGTGGGGATTGAACCCGGAATTCCTGGGTTCTGTAGCGCGAGCTTTCGCTTCACATGCTCCGAGCTGGTGTGCGCTATCCCACTCGGCCACTGATACCCCCTGCGGTATCTCCGTCTCACGCCCGAGTTACCGTAAAACTCCGTTTCATAATTAGTAAACAACGCTGTCAAAGCTACTGGCGCGAGTGCGTGACTTAATGTACATATCAAGAA